CAGTGATGGTGAACCTATGACACGCGTGTCAGAGGTGACACGCAAACTCATTTTTTTTGGTTGATTTTTCTTTGTTAAATGGCATTTAAATATATAAAATAAATATCAAAAATATAAATCTTTGTTTTACTATGGTTGCAAATATCAAAAAATTTCTATATGTGACACGGCACCAGAGTTAAGTTAGGGTTTTTCAAAATGCTGACACGTCGAGCTCAAAAGGTTCCCCATCACTGCCCTAGACTGTGGTTTGCTGTTCTGGCAGCCTGACCTGACTAGGATGTTCACGACAAGGTTCTTGGCTCCTGGCCTAGTCCGCTCGGGCTGCCCTCACCAAACACCCCACAGAAATGCATTTATTTCTCAGTCTGGAGGCTGAATCAGAGTCTGGGGAGAGTCCGGTTCCTTGCTGTGTCTTCACATGATAGCAAGAGCTCTGGTCTCCCCACCCTCATCATTTCATCTAAACCTCCAAAGGCCCCATTGCAAACAGCACCGTACTGAGGGTGAGGGCTTCAATATATGAATGGTGAGGGGACACAAAGATTCGGTCCATACAGCTCCTAACCATAGACCCTGAGTTTGTTTCTCCCTGGCAAACCTCCTCCCATACCTTCTCATCTGTGGGTTTGGTCTTTACAGCGGTGTGTATACCAGGAAAATCCTGCCCTCGCCTCCCCCCATCCTGCCCAGCCCGGAGCAGACGGGCACTCGTGCCTCCCTGGACGACAGGTCTGTGGTCTTCCCCTCTCACGCCTGTCACTGCCCGCCCTGTAGGCAAATTGGGTGGAAATCATCAGTCTGCCTCCCCCACAGCCTGAGGAGCCCCTTGTCCAGTGGCCGCACACAGAGCCCAGGGCTGGCCACCGCTCTGGCACCCGAATCCCCCAGGGTCGCTGGGGCCCTGTATGGATGCTTCCTGTCTCCTGTGAATAGATGTACGTGGGGCCATTAAAGGAAAGAGCCAGCCCAGGGACCGTCCCAACATGGGCCGTGAGCCCCTGTAGAGCCCCCAGGCAGGGAGGACAGAGTTGACAAGCCTGTGAGCCACTCATTCTAGGCCTCTCCCTGGCGCCTGAACACAGTGGACCAGGCCTCTCCCAGCGCCCGCTCTGTGCCCTCTGAGTAGAAGGCCCGCATGCCCTTCTTCATCTGGCAGGTGCCACTCTCCTCCCAAGGTGTCCCAGGGTGAACTCCACAGGCTCCTCCCTGTCCCCAGAGAGGACGGACCACCCCCCCCCCCCCCCCCAGCTCCCATCCCCCTGCTGTGACTGCCTTAGCACTCCTGGCTGAGCTGCAGCTGGAATACTGACAAAAGACGACTTGTGATAATGAACACCTTATTACATACAGGAGGGAGTGGGGACTGTCACCTGCTGTGGAGGGGCAGGTGTGAGGGTGGCAGCTTGGCAAAGCCAGGAGAGCACATTGCTCTAAATTTTCTTAAGGGAGATTTTATATGGAGACGTTGGAGGGAGAAAGAGGAGGGAGAAGGCCACATATGTCCCTCCCTCCCCTCCTAAGGGGATTTCCAGTACTTCTTACAAATCTCATTGGCCAGGACCTGGTCACCTGGCCACATCGCTGCAAAGGAACCTGGGAGATGTAGTTTTTAGCTGTGCAGCTTACTTGGCTAAATATTATGGCTCTGTTTTTAAGGAGAGAGGGGAGAATAGTTATCTCTGCCTCAGGGACAACTGGCTAAGCTGTGGTGGGGATGGGAACACACTGGGGAGACAGCCTAAGGCACATGACATCTATTGGGTGCTGGAGGAGCTAGGTCCCAGGTCAAATGGGCTTTGTTCAGGTAAGCTGGGGAATGAGGAAGAGGGGGTGTGACGAAGGGTGGAGAATGTGGTGAGGACATGACACAATTGCATGCAAAGGTTTGCTATGGCTGCTGCACAGATAAGGGGGAGGGAGGGAGGAGGAGGCGATTGGTTCTCATGGCTTCCTGGGTGACATGGAGTCATTGAAAAGGGAAAAGCGCTTGGGAAAGGTAAGCGCTGAGTCCAAACATAAGGGGCAGTAAAGTGTGATCTGTGGTTGTCCCCAGCATCCCTGAGAGGCGGGCCTCGTCCGTCCCCCTCACCGGAGACAGCCAGACGGATTCCGACATCCTGGCATTCATCAAGGCCAGACAGAACATTCTGCAGAAGAAATGTAAGTGCCCCTTCCTACAGGACCACGGGGCCCCCCACCCCGCTCTGCTCCCCAGGGGGAGGCTGGAGCAAGCACCGAGGCCCGAGGGAAGCAGGAAGCGCCCTGCATGGTCCTGAGGCCATAGGACTGGCCTGGCGCTCACGTCCACGTGCCAGACCTCTGCATCCTCCTGGAGAAAGCCCCGCGCAGCAGCATCAGAAGCCCCCAGACAGGCCGGAGGGTGGGCAACCCGGCTGCTCCTGCCCGGCTTGGCAAAGCCTCTCTCCTCTTCCAGGTGGTCAGCTCCCTTTGTCCCCTGTCCCCAAAGCCAGCGCTCCCTGGCTGGGTCCTCGCCACACAGGAGTGCTGAGTGGAGGTCTGGCCTGTGGAGTCCCTGGCTGGAAACGCCAGTTCTCCTGCAGGTGTGGCTTCGCCAATGAGGTGTCGGTGTAAGCAGCACTTGGAGGCCCAGGCCTGGGGCCATGGAAGTTACGGAGAAACATGTGTGGCCGGTCAGACAACAGGGAGGGAAAGAGCAGGCCCTTCCTCACGGAGCCGCTATGGACAGGCCTCTCCTCCCGCCTCCCTCTCCTGAGACCAGACCAGGCAGGCTTAGCGTCGCTTCCACGTCAGCGGGCTCCGTGGTGGATGAGAGGCAGACCTGGGGCGCATCATGACTGACACCGGCCCTGAGGGCCAGCACCCCGAGGAAAGGGTGGCCTTTGCCGTGCTGTGCTCACCGGGATGCCAGCCCACATATGACCCGTCTTCACTGGTAGGGTCAGCACCATGGGCAGCTGGCCAGGGCCTGTCTGAGACCTGCGAGTCCGCTCTGCCAGCAACCTGCTGGGGCTCCGTGACCTCACCGCTGGCTTCCTCTCAGCCTCCGTCTCCTTGTCTAAAGAGAAGAAGGAAAAAATTGAATTTGGATTCGGTGATCTCCGAGGCCCCATCTACTCCCCATATACTCTAACGACATGTATCGGACACTGAATAGTTTGCACAGCCGGTCGGTGAATGAACACGGTAGTTATTGGGCATCTCCTGTGTGCCAGGCACTGTACCAGGGCTGGGCCCTGGCAGTGAACGAGACAGAGGGCCCTCGCCCTAACTGACTTAGCTCAGTGGGTAGAGCATCAGGGAGGTGATTAGATCATGAGGGTGGAGCCCTCATGAACAAGATTAGGGCCCTTATAAAAGGAGGCCAGAGAGCCCGCTCACTCCCTTTCCAGGGAGGGACACAACAGAAGTCAGCAGTCTGAAACCCAGAGAGGGCTCTCACCAGAACCCGGCCCTGCTGGCACCCAGACCTCAGGCTTCCAGCCTCCAGAACCGTGAGAGACGAATTCCCACAGCCACCGGGTCTGCGGCACGTTGTGATAGCAGCCTGCCCTGACTCAGACAGGAATGGGCACCAGAAGTGGTGCTGCTACAGCAAAAACCAAAAGATGCTGAAACAGCTGTGAAACCAGGTGATGGGTCGAGACTGGAAAGCTTTGAGATGCACACTAGAAGAAGCCGAGATTGTCCTAAAGGGACTTTTAAAGGCAATTCTGGGAAGGGCTCATAATGGACGGAGAAGAGCTGTGGAGAAAGCTCCCGCCTTTTAGAGAAGAGACATAATCGTGTCCAGAATGTTGGTAGAAATTGGGTGGTAAAGGCCATTCTGAGGTCTGGGGCAGAAATGAGGAGCGTGCTATTTGAAGGACAGGCAGTCCTTGTAATACGGTGGCAAGGAACTCGGCTAAGCTGTGTTCATGTTCCAGTATTTGTGGAAGGTCCAGTTTACAGGTGATGAACCTGGTGTTAGCCAAGGAGATTTCTAAGCAAAGTGTGGAAGGAATGGCTTGGCCCCTCCTGACTGCTTAGAGTGAAATGTAAGAGAGTCATGACTTGAAGGTGACCTTATTAAGCAAAAATGACTAGAATGTACAGATTTGGAGACTCCCCCGCCTGTGCAAGCTGCAAAAACTAAGCAAGTGTCTCCAGAAGAGAACCCCAGGGTGCGGCCGAGCGACCACAAGGAGATGAGTGTGGGCGTGAACCGGGGATGGGATCGGCTGCCCTACCAGGAGCACTGACAGGGTGAGCTGAGGAGGAGGAGCGGGGATGGGACGAGGCAGGCTGCCGGACTTCCTGGATTTTACGGGATGGAACCACAGCGCTACTCTGCCGGGAACACCACCGTTCTTCCAGCAAGAGGAGAATGACCCCAGAGGCCATTCAGAGCCTCAGGGCTGCCCCCCGTTTCAAAAGGAGGGCCCACAGGCTTGCTTTCCACAGGCCAACGCTGGGGGACACGCAGCAGAACTGTGAGGGCATGACCCCTGCCCAGCAGGGCCTGGCTGATCACCCCACTGGGACCAAAGGGCAGATCATCAAGCCGAAGAGGATGATGGTTGAGCCTTAAGATCTCCTGGTGTTGGCCTTGCGAGGATTTAGACTCCCTTGGGACCCATCACCTTCCTTATTTCCTGTCCTCCCTTTTGGAAGGGGAAGGTCTATGCCCGTGGTTGGCAAACTGCGGCTCTCGAGCCACATGCGGCTCTTTGGCCCCTTGAGTGTGGCTCTTCCTAAGCCTTAGGAGTACCCTAATTAAGTCAATAACAATGTACCTACCTATATAATTTACGTTTTAAAAATGGCTCTCAAAAGAAATTTCAATCGTTGTACTGTTGATATTTGGCTCTGCTGACTAATGAGTTTGCCGACCACTGGCCTATGCTGAGCCTGTCCCCGCACAGCTGGAGGGCAATTTTGCCTCAGGATGAAATGAATCAAGAATACCTTGCGTCTCACCCAGAGCTGATTAAATGCTATTCAGATGAGACTTTGGACTTTAGGCTTAGTGTTGATGCTGGAACAAGCTAGGAAGGTG